TTTCCCTTATTTTTCCTAATTTCTAGATTTTTAAATTTCTGAAATAAAGGAATTTTGTTATGTAGCTCTGTGGGTGATTTCTAAAGCCCATCTTGTTCGATAATTATGTCAAGGAAATGAATATTTGATTTGATTTATTTTTAATTTGTATTTTCCATATTGTATTTGCTTATATAAGCACATAGTTTAGTGAAGTGCCATTTGCTCCAAAGCAGTTATATTTTAAGCACAGCACACTATGGACCAATCCCTATATGCATACATTTCTGTTCAAAATTTAAGTGCAAGCAAACTATATAACTATACTCACATTATACTCTTCTAGAAGTGAATTGATTATCCCAGCATATATTCTTTGATAGATTGTAAGGTCTTTGAAAACATAATGTTATCTTATGCATGTTTGTATTCCTTTTAGAACTAGCACATTACATAAGGCAGAAAATCAATATTCAATCAATATATGGGTAATGTCTTCTCTGTGCTATTTAAAGAATTCTGTGAGGGAAAACCTGAGCATGTTCTACTGATAAAAGGGTTAGGACAACTGTGTTGTGGATGTTTTGTTTTGTTTTTTTTCAGGAAATTGTAGTGCTGGGTGTTTGAGAGTTTTCTGCCTCCTGATTCAACCTTCCTAGATAAAGTGATTATAATTACACATGGTCTTACTGGCTTAGGTTCCAATCTATGCCTCAGTTTTACCTTTTCCCTCTCCAACCTTTTACCAACATTAGTACTAGAGGAGCATTTAAAAAAAACTCAGCCCTACCCATTTGGCTCCATGGATATAGCATCAGCCTGTGGACTGAAGGGTCCCAGGTTCGATTCCTGTCAAAGGCATACGCTCGGGTTGTGGGCTCGATCCCCAGTAAGGGGTGTGCAAAAGGTAGCCCATCAATGATTCTCTCATCATTGATGTTTTTATCTCTCTCTCCCTCTCCCTTCCTCTCTGAAATTAATTAAAAAATGTAAAAAAAAAGAAAACAAACCTCACACCGCCCTAGCCAGTTTGGCTCAGTGAATAGAGCATCGGCCTGTGGACAGAGGGTCCCATGTTCGATTCTGGCTCAGTTGCAGGATTGCAGGCTCTTCCCCAGCCTGGGCCCTGGTCGGGGATCGAGCAGGAGGCAACCAATCAATGTGTTTCTCTCACATTGATGTTTCTCTCTGTCTTTCCCTCTGTCTTCCACTCTCTCTAAAAATCAATGGAAAAATATCCTCGGGTGAGAATTAAAAATAGTAATAAAAATAAATTTAAAAACCTCAAACCAAAAACTTGATCATATTCTTGCTCAAAACTCTTCTGTGTAAGAACCTTCCTATCCACTTTCAAGTATAGATTGGGTGGCCCTCCTTCTTCTATACTTGTGTATGCATATGTCACCACACTCATCTCCCATACTGCGTGGATTTACGGGTTATAGACTGTGACATAGGAATTGCCTTTCAGTTTTATGTCCTCAAAGCCTGTGTTGTGCACAGAAGATCTTATGAATAGATATCTTCAAATGCTGATACCTCAATGTCATTTTTCATTAAGTAATATTTTATAGATATTTCTGGCCCCTTTAAATAAATTCCTTCACTACATAAACACAATAGGAGGGCATGGGCCTACAGCTCAGTTCTTAAGTTGGGCATAGATACAAATGTTCATGAAAGTCAAATAAGGAGGAGGACTTGGTATAATTTCAAGCATGTGGTCATTTGCCTGCTTGTGGGTGCCCTATTTTATAAAATTGTCCATAAAAATGTGGCATGGAATCTTCATTATTTTTGGTAGAGATAGCACATACCCATCCAAATTAAAAATTTTAAGCAAATCTCCTTTTTTCCTTCTAAATAGTCACTTGAAGACATTTTTGATATTATAGCATTTGTCCTTAGGTAGAGCTGTTAAAGTTAAATAAGTGTGAATGTCTGTCAAGTACAGTTCTTGCAAGAGTACATGTACATTTTATATATTGTGAGAAAAGCATAATTAATAGCTAATTAGGATAATGAAAGTAATATACACCAGATGTAGAGAAGACCTTGTGGAAAATTAGTATGAATTAGGTAACATGTGATTTGGTCAAAGTAAGCTTGTTGAGAAAAATTAAAACAGTGGACATGTGGAGGGGCAATCAATGGCTGCCTAGCTCCTACACCTCAGGGATAATTTAATCAAGTTTGCTATTGTAATACTCAGGGCTTCAAGCTGTTCCATTTTCACAAGTTGATAACTTGGGATTTGGGCCTTGATTTGCAGCATTCCTATATGGTCAAGATTTCATGTTGAGATGATCACTTAATAAAATCATCTCCATGTATAAGATTAGAAAAGTAATGAGAGCTCTTAAGTACTCTGATTCATGCTCCAAATCTTCCAGGAACCACTTAATTAATGCAAGTCTAATACTGTTATGTAACTCACTTTCTTTTTAATGTTTATTGGTTGTCAGTAATCTAATTTTCTTTTTTTCTTATTCCTTCTAAATGTTAACCAGAATTTCCTATTATAAGAAATTAAAATTCAGTAAGTCCTTGTTGGCTTATATAGCTACATTTTGAAAGCAACATGCACACAGATAATGTCTAACATCTGTTGATACCTTAATAAGTGCCAGGTATTGTGCTCAGTGTTTTATGTACATTATACCATTGAATCCTTACAACAATAAGGTGTAGGTATCATCACTATCATCATTATCGTTATTCCCATTTTCAAATGAGGTAGCTGAACCACAGAGAGATTAAGTAATTTGCCTAAGGTTACGTAGATAATAAGTGACGAACCTGAGCTTGAACCCCAGTAGTCTGCCTCCAGACCACTTGCTTTTCATGTTTTTATTGCTGTTTCTCGCTCTCCTTCCCTCCCTCCCTCCATATATTGATAATGTCCTTACTGGTGAGAAAGAGGAAAAATTACATAAAGACATAGAATAGATGTAGTTTTTTTTTTTATCATTACATAAAGACATACGATAAATGTAGTTTTCCATGTGATGTGTGTATTCCTTTTCATTGATGGTGTCAAGTTACTATCGATGTAATTAGTACATTAATCAGTATGATAGGGTGTTGTTTTATTATCCATTAGAGATTATTAATTTATGAGCTTTGAAAACAATTTGTTTTTTGTTGTTTTTTAGTTATTTTACTTTTTGTTTGGTTTTGCTTTTGCTTTTAGACAGTGATGTTTAAGTCATATTCCTATCCTGGGGTATCTATAGATAAATAGAAAACTGGCCCATTGCATTACTTACTAGAAAGGCTGTCAATTACAACTAAAAATTAGTAAGATACTAACTTTATAAGAATGCATACAGAATATAATGGATTCCAAATGGGCTACAATTTCTGTGTAATTGATAAATAAATTCAAGAGTTCTTTTCTTGTGAAGTGTGAAAACAATAGTCCTAGAAAAGTTATAAAACAACTAGCAAAAAGATTCAGTTCAGTGAATAGGATAAAATATTGAATATAAAAAACAAGCAACTTTGCTATTAGAAAGGATAATTGGAAAGGTCCATAAAAGGATATGTTTCATAATAAATATGAAAGCAAATGAATCAAATTATATAAAAATACACTGAAAGATCTAAAAAGAAAACTTGAATAAATTGAGAGATTATATTTTTACAATTCTATTAGAGGGCAATGTTAAATAGAATAAAATGTTCATTAGTACTTTGAAATGAGCTACAATGAGTTTATAATGAAAAATGCAATGAGTTTATAATGAAAAATGCTATGTTATAAAGTCAAGTTATAAAAAGTATGCATAGAAAATACATGGAAGAAAATATGCTCAATGTAGACCTTTATATATTGTTAGATGGTTATAGTTTTTTATTTTTATGCTATTTTTGTTTTTTTTCCTAAACACATGAATGTTTTTGTAATGTGGAAAACATAGATATTCACATTTTTAAAAAATAATTTAGATTAAAAGGTAAGATTTTTTTTTACTTCCTTGTGTTGTGTTTGGCCTTATGCAGGAAAGAAAGAGCTATTTTTTAAATTTACATTCTTCTCTTTATTTTTAATTCATATGGTTTTAAATTTCCTTAGAAAGATGTGCGAGACATCCTCAATCCAATTCAGATTGTAGCTGCTTACCATCTTGGGCATGATATCACCAGTAAACGAAGTATAAAGGAATTCCCACCACTCCAGCCAATTCTTCAGCAGAAGAAAGAAAAAGACATAATTGAAAAAACAGTAAGAATATTTTCTTTTATTCAAAAATTGTGACATGTAACTAAAAATTGTTTTTTTGAAGTATTACGTAATTCTAGGAAAATGAACTCTAATTTTTTTAAAATTATATAAAACTTGTATAAAAAGATTTATGGTATGTTTTGTTTTTCATTTTCATTTTTTTATTTTTTATATTTCCTTCAGGATATTGAACTGGATATTTTAAAATGTGCATTTAGTCATAGCAGTGGTTTCTCATCCTATCTAATAAAAGGCTAATATGCAAATCAACCAGCAGAATGACTGGTCGCTATGATGCACACTGACCACCAGGGGTCAAATGCTCAATAGAGAAGCTGCCCCCTGGTGCTCAGTGCACTCCCACAGCAGGAGCGCTGCTCAGCCAGAAGCCAGTGCAGCAGTGGTGGAGCGGGCCTAAGCCAGCAGTCAGACATCCCCCAAGGGCTCCCGGACTGCAAGAGGGTGCAGGCTGGGCTGAAGGATGCACGCCCCCCACCCCAAGTGCATGACTTTCATGCCCCAGGCCTCTAGTATACTATATAAAATGTTAATTTTCTCTCTTGATGTCTTGCCAGGAAAGAAAGTATATTACTAGAGAGCACTCGTAGTGGGAATGAGTTGCATTCATGAGTTGGTTATTCTGTGTCATGTGTGTTTAGTTTATCTTTCTCTTTTTCTGTCTCTTCTCTCTCATTTGTGTCTCCCTCTCACTCACTCCACCCATAGGTTTTACTCATTTATAGGCATATGTATTTATGTTACACAATAGTTTCTCTTTTAAAATTTAGCTGTATGCTTTCCAGTCCCATTCCAGCACTGACTGCATTTTGGGATGGATCCTGCATTCTAACCAGTGAACTTTTTTTTCCAGTTTATCTCAAAATATATCATTCACTGACCGAGTGTTTGTTTCTGGGAGTCCAGTTGTTCATAATTTTTCTATCCAACGACACAAAGACAGTCAACAGGATGTTTGGGGACATGGTAAAAACATTCATTAAAATGTTCACTAATGGTACACAGAATGTAAAAGATAAAAGGGACGTTTCACAGCCTGCGGACTGAAGGGTCCCAGATTTGATTCCGGTCAAGGGCATGTACCTTGGTTGCGGGCACATCCCCTGTAGAAGGTGTGCAGGAGGCAGCTGATCGATGTTCTCTCTCATCGATGTTTCTCTCTGTCTCTCTCCTGTCCTCTCTGTAAAAATTCAATAAAATATATATATTTTTAAAAAGGGACGTTTTAAGGTCTAGTTCATTTCCTGTCCCAACAAAATTGCCCCTAAGTCACTTTGATATTTGAGCTTACAATCACCGATGTCTAGTCTACAATAATAGGTTGAATAAAGATAATAGCTTAAGAGCAAATTTTCTTTATACCCATATATAAAAATATTTCTGGAAGTTAGTTTTTTCAGTCTTCTGTTTGACTTCACTTTTCAATAGCAAGTACCTTTAAATGTGTTTTATTGTAAGTGCACAAGCCAAAACCTAAACAGTTTGTAGTTATAATAATTAACATTTTGACTCTTAGAACAACCTGTTTTATAAATAAGAGTGATAGAAAAAATCGTATTTACGTAATCATTTAGAGAAAGATTGACACTCTCCTTGTGCTCCCCCTGTAGAGGCAGTCTGTGATCTGACATGCAATTTGACAACACGCTAGTCCTTTGCCACTTCATGTGCCTGGCTCATTTCTCTGAGTTTCCAGATTTCTTTCTTTTCTGCATCTCATTGTTTTTCACCTTTGCCTCTCATTTTTCTCTCCCCCACCCCTCCCTGCTCTTTCCATGTTTTTTCCTTTGTCTAACTTTTTAAACTCAGGTCTTCCATGTACCTTATAGTATCTCCTGGTCCTATTAAAATGCTCAGAGGTATGATATGCTATCATTTACTTTTGTTCAATGTGTTCTTAAAGTGAAATTTCTACAATTTTTTCTTTTCAACAAACATAAAATCGCTGCAAAATTAAGTGCCAGGCTCAGACATAGTAAGTGGAATCAAAACATCAGAAAATTGAGAGGAACCTGACAAAGAACATCTCAGCAACATGGGTTTTAAATACTTACATAGATTCCCACCAAAGTTTGGTTTAAAAATTTTTCTTACAACTATTATGAAAGAAAAGCATCCTTTTTCCCACCTAACAAATTTAGGTTTTAAATTTGCCTATTAGAAGAACTTAGTTCTTTTAACCCAATAATTATTTTTCATTTAAACCTACTAATTAATTCTCATATTGAACTCCTCAAAAAATGATAAAACGAGTTATCAATCTGATTAATTTTATTCTCCTCATGTATCATAGATGTCTGTCTTTAAAAAAAAAACACAGAAATATGCCTACTAACTGAACTAACAATAAAATACTGTCATATTTTATTTCCAGATAAACTTTGCAAGGTTTTGTGCCCATGAAAATTGTTCTGCTGATTTACAAGTGTCTGGGAAAATTGGATTTTTGAAGTAAGTCTAGTTTACTCTTTGTTATTCATCAAGATGAGATCATGGGTGTGCGTGTGGTTTTCAAAGAGAAAATGCCTAAGAACTAATACTTGGGGGTTAGCAGCATTTAAAGAACTGGAAAAGAACAAGATTCAACTGAGAGAGATTATCACTTTTCGAAAGAACAAGAATATGTGAACACCAAGGCTTTATGAAGCATGTCTTAATCTTTTGTTGGTAACTAAAGAGATAGTTTAGGATTTGACTGTGCTCAAGTCATCCTCATTAGAATTTTAGTTGTGTTTTAGACATTTGTCAGTGCCTCTTACTACTAGAGTTTTGATGACAAAATGAACTAACCTTCACTACATGATGCTTACTTTTGTGTCACTCAGAAAAATGATTACATAATTCAGACTGATGTATAAAATAAAGAAATTCCTAAGTATATATGACACCTTTGAGAGGGAATAAACCATCTTGTTCTTCTAAATTCAGAGAAGGGGAAATAGTCAGAAGAAAACTTATGCAATGTGCTTAGACTAGTAGCTAACATGTAGAGAACACTAGATAAATGTTGACTGCTGTCATTATTTATGATGGGAAATAAACCATTATAATTTTGTCATGTTAGATCCCCTATGTTGAAATTATTTTGCATATCAGAGGGCAGACATGAAAATGAGGATCAGGGATAGAATGCACGGCACAGGTTGAGGGATGACTATGTATGGGAAATGAAGGAGGAGAAAGAGGCATCAGTGACAGGACAGAAAAAATGGGAAATTATATTGGGAGGTAAGTCTACAAAGGCAGCACGTTTAATGGAGGCAAATGTTGAATTTGGTGGGACTTCAGCTCTCCAGGAATACTGTGAAGTGCTCTACACATTCCTGACTTGTGAGAATGCTTGGGGGTGGAGGAGGTGAAATGTGCACTTCACAGAGAAAGAACTAAAGACTAACTCTGGGATGGGGGGAGGCAGTTTTATTTAAAGAGATTAACACAAATAGGGAGACCCTGTAGGAGACTGAAGAGAACTAAGAGGAAAACTGAGTACACTGTGAAATAGCCAATATAAAAAGAGGGACTTCATATTGTAAAATTTTGTGGAGAGACCAGATAACATAATGACTGAGAAAGCTCATGGAAGTTGGCATTTAAAATGTGACTTGTGGAAAAAATATCACTGGCAATTTGTAAGATGGAAATTTCAGTGCAAGTAGTAGCTGAATGACAGGGTAAGTGCTTAGGGAAGAAAATATACTGGGAACAAGTGGCTTTATCGTGTTATTTAATCACGCAGAGGCAGGGAAAGAAAGAAATTGGAGAGAGAAATTTTCTACTTAAATCCAGGGGGCACTTTTCGTACCTATTTGAACTCTCTGAAGCATTTGACAGCTTTTCACTTCCTCCTTTGAATGTCTTTTGCTTTAATTTCCATGGTGACACCCTACTCCCTTCTCCTTTTCTAGCCTCTCCTTCTCAATTGTCTTTGGAGATATTTGATTTTGGCTCTATTGATTCCCCAATGGTTTTCTCACCCCTTTCTCACATTCCCATATTTTCCCTGGCTATCTTACCTACAACTGTGACCTCACCTGGTCTGCCTACACTGCGAATGCCCAAATCAGTGTCTCTGAGTTCCACGCCCACACATCCAGGTGTCTATTGGACATGTCCTCTGGAGCTCAATCTGCATTCTTCCCCCTTTCTTAACCCTACTATTCAGTAAGTTAGTAAGTCCTATAATAACCACATAGATGCTATTGGTGGTTTGTTTGTTTTTTTGTTTTTTCATCATAATTCTCTGCCTCTACTACTATTGCTTCATGCCAAGCTCTGAATATCCTACATAGCTCACAGGCTTTCCTGCTTTCTCACCTACAGGTCTCCTATTTTAACATTATTTTAATCCCTCTACCCCTCTACCATGATGTTTCCAGAGTGAGCTTTCTCACATACACTTCTGATACCAGTGCTTCACTGGTTTATTATAACCTTAACTCTAAACTCCTTAGTGTTTTCTCACCAACTCCCTGGGACTTAGAGTTGCTTGGCCACACCATGCTCTCCCGAACTCTGAATAGTTTCACTTCTTGTTTTCACTTCTCCAACGTATCTACTTGGTTAACTTTTATTTATCTTGAAAATCTCAGCTGTTTCCTAGGTGAAGTCCCTTTTGTCTCCAGGTACATAAACCTAAGTCCTCCTGTGCCCCTGGTCCCACTGCACTTGCCACTCACTACCATTACTATCTGTCTCCATGCCATCCTGGAAGCTGCTTCAAGGCAGGTTCCTGTCCTTTCATCTTTGTGTTGACTTTGCCCAAAACAATATCTGGAACACTGTCAGTGACTAATAGGTGTTTGCTGAGAATGGAACAAGGTTCTAAAAAAATAACAGTATATAATGAGATTGACTCAAGTGGAGGAGTTAGCTTTAGGAAGAAATTAAAATTGTCCTTATCTTGAGCTGAACAGGTATGAAAAGATGTTTGACATTGATTAAGAAACTCAGTGTGGAAGAAAATAAAATGTAGAGAATTCATGGGTGGCCAGAATACAAAAAAGTAGGCTCATCTACGGAAAGTGGGGGGTCTTTAGGATAGATCTGGGAACGTGAAAGGCATGGAGGGAAAAGCTCAAAATAGCTGTTATGATAAATGGGATAAGTCAACTAGGAATGAGTGAAAAGGTTCAAAAACAGTGTTGGGTACCCTGCTGGGTAGGAACACATATGGCATAGAATAAATTAATTCTTTTCACTTAAGCAATGCCAGTATAGCCTTGAGCATCCACAATTGAGGGCCAAGAAGCCCTAACCTATTTGATTAATAATTGGACTTTATACTTAATTATCCAGATTGGCTGTTCTTCTAGTCCAAAAACAGTGACTACTAACTACTTTGCATCCCAGCATGTAGTGTGGTGCCTTTGTTGATGTATTAGC